TAACATTGAGGAATATATTGACGTGGCAGGGTCTTCAACTTGTGAAAGAACTCATTAAATCCATAGTTTATTGATTTTATAATTATACTTTTAATTGATCTACACTCTACTTTTATATATTCTTTAATAGATGATTTTATCTTTGTAAATTCAAACAAGGATTTCTGTATTCGTGACTTGCCATACATGTACTATTACTATAGTATGTAAAAAAGTCAAATAAAATACTCTACTATCTACTCAATCGTCGCAAAACACTGTCCTTTCGTGGGTTTCTTCATTCTTGGGAACAAGAAAAAGTCCCAGATGGGCAAATCTGCAGAACACGGTGGCTGAGGCATGATTAGGGTGTTGTTTTTGAAAAAAAAATTATCAACAAGCAATGACGAATGAGCAAATGTAATTTTGACGGAAGACATACAGAGATTTATCATGTTTTGCACCTAGTGATCACTTTTCAAAAAATGAAATCAATATTTAAATAAACGAAAGTTGTACAAGAACTTCTGGCAACATCTACGACTGTCGGCATAAGACTGAAACACATCTTTTCCTTCAAAACTATGAAAATCATATTTTTTTGATAGGTATGATGAAGACCTTCTAAATTAAAATATATGTAAACGGAAACTGTGAAAGGATATCTCAAATTAAACAAATTTTTTTCGCTTTTTACTCATTTATATACAATATTCTGAAATATTTTAAAATTTCATAAAAAAAATTATCCGTGCTCATTAATTAAGAGAGTTTTACTTAAACATATGTCACTTATTGATGAATTACCTATTCACTATCGCTCTCCTCATCAGAATCTTTCAAAACATTGCCAGACTTTCCTTTCTTCCTATTTCTGGAGTCTTCGATATCGGACCCTTCTTCATCAGATGAATAAATAGCACCACCTATTAAAAAAAAATCAGTTTGAGATTTGTTCTTCTTTCAGATACAAAACCAACTGGAGTACATTAACCAACCTACTAATCCAATAGAGCATCATTTAACCAAGTATTGTTCATAATCGGTTACCAGAAATAATAATAATAATAGAAAATACAGAATAACTAGAGAAATTTGAAAACAAACTGAAACATTTTTTGAAGAAATAGACTATTAGTATTGTATTTTGTTTGTAAATTATCATTTTTTGACTATCTGAAGTTTTTGTTATCTGTATCTGTAGAGTAGGGAGGGTGAGTGTAAGCCCA